GAACCAGGGGATGCGAGTTGTGCTTGATGTGACAGAGGGACTGAGGGGTCACAATGTGACATGTGACAATTTCTTCACCTCTTATGGTTATCGGACAGCAGCTCCTGAAGAGGAAGATCACCATGGTTGGTACAGTTCGAAAGAACAAGCCTGAGCTCCCACCTGCACAGCTTGCGTCAAAGGAGAGAGAGGTCTTCTCCTCAAAGTTTGCCTTCACGCCTACCACCACTCTAGTTTCCTACCTCCCANGATTTAGTGGAGACGGGTCATTTTGACCCGGAGGACAAAGGGTGTATACAGAAAATGAGGACAACAGGAGGGTTAAGACAGCCATGAAAAAAATCAGACATGGGTCCATTTACGTGCAATGTGAACTTTGCCTTAGTCACTTGTGGGCTAGTAAAGTCCCTGCGTTGCTGGTGTATTTTTTATTTTGGTGCTGTCAACATTCATTGATGAGCGTGCTCAGATGTACTAGAAGGAAAGTATTAGTTAGGGCTATCCAAAGGGAAAACACTTGTAAATTCACTGTTTCAGGTACAACATTTCTGTGCCATTCTCTCCTTTCCTAGGAAAGAGGGAGCTTAAAATAAAACCTTGTAATTTTACTTTCATCCACTCTGACTGCAAGATGCACCTCTACAACACAAGTGTCATTTTTTCTTTAAAACTCCAAAAGCAAAACGAAGAAATATGCGAAAACCAGCAAGGCAATATAGAACTCAAGAGTCCAGAGAGTTTTGACCTCTAAGGAGTCTGCATTGGCCTGATTTACGTCACAAGTCAAGGTCTATCTGTCAGTGCCTGCTGCAGTGTTGAAAGTAGGCTTCCATCTTGTCTCGTCGACTGACAGACTCTGCAGCTCTGAACGCTGTTGAGACCTACAGAGTGAGAGGGTGTGTGATCCATTTGTTAAAAAACAGTGATGGAAAATTTCCAGACCGCAGGAAATGATCAATACCTGTACAGCTGGACAGATGACTTCTTAGCTACTGGTCATCTCTAAAATGTCAGGTTGTGAAGGTAAATGTAGGTGTGTATAGCTGTGTAAACAGCTACTCTGCATGCTGTCACTGTGCAGATTTGACAAAAAAAGTTTAAAATGCTTTAAGCTTAAGATAAAAGTGCATGAGAGGTTTTAGTTGCACTTTGAATACCCATTATGCACGACTGTATGTCTGAACAGCTCCCACATTAAAAACTATACATATATTTGTTGTGTATATAGTTAGAAGGAAATCAAGCCATCCCTCCACCATTTTACTGTTTACCTTCCAAAACTGCATGCCTCAAAGACTTTTTGTTTCATGCAAGCTATTAAATTTGGTGCTTAGGGTTGAGCAGATTTGATGTGGCACATGTCCTTGGTGCTTTAAAAGAACGGCAATGAAAATTTAATCAATTGAGTTTGCCTCCCATGCCCTGAGCAAGTGTTCACCATAGATTCTATTTTAAATTAAGATCAAGGAAACATTTTCTGAAGGGAACTATCTGAATAAGATAATTCTTTGATTGGCTGAAAGCTTATTTTAGAGTTCATCTGACTGACAAAAGTTGACTGAGACTTAGATGAGGAAGGGTTTATCTAACATTTTTACTTTTAAATAGGGGGCCTGGATTGGCTGCTTCTGTAATTTTAATGGGTTTTGAAAAAAGAAATCTTGCTTCACTTACTCAAATGTTTTAAAGGGGCAATATTATGTGTTTCTCAGGCATACATTTAAATACTATACCATAATAAAGTATCTGTGTCACCTTTAGCTTTAATTAAAATGCAGTTTTTATGTTTAAAAAGAAAATAAACTTATCTTCTCATCACTTCCTCTTCTAAACACCTTGAAATTGGCCTCTGTCTCTTTAAGGACTACCTTCCGCTTCTGTCTCACCCAGTTCAATGTGGGGGAGTGGGGGTGGGAGCTACTATGATGCAGTTTACTTGGCATCTGAAAATACATTTCCTCAAATGTATTTTTAATCTGAAAAGAGTTTCATTGAGTGAGAAGTAGTGGAGCTCAGCAGACAGTTTAAGTTTCACTTTCAGTTTCACCTGAGAGCCTGCAGGAGTCATGGGCGGGGTGTGTGGGGAGGAGGGGGGGGTGCACTCTGTCATGAGGAAGTTCGGCTTAAAGACACGTCCCAGGGGCGTTTCTGGTMCCAAAAGGYRTTTCTGGTCCCCACCTGTCGTTTTGCTCCTCAGCATGGCTGCCTAAAAATGCTGCAGGATTTCTCAAACATGCATGAATGAGTCAAAGCAAGGCTTTGGGCACATTTTTAATGAGAGTATAACATTATAACATGATACAAAACTA